TTTTCTTGTTTATTATTTGTATTGGCTTTGTTCTGTATCTGAAAATAGGGGAAGGGTGCTGAAGGTAAAATACAGGATGAACGTCCTAGTTTGGCTGAAAATGTCATTTAATATTTAATGTAAAATATTAGCCTTAGTGCGAAGAGTCTTAAAAGAATATTACCATGTAAATACGTGTAATTTATTGCAAATAAAAATTATTATACTCTCATTTATTTCATTTCACAAGTTAGGTTTTTTATAAAATAGATATAAAAGTAAAATACAAAAACGTAAATACAAAATAAATATAGTATAAAAAACCTAACCTAGAAGGCCACCAGCAGCGGAGCGAGGCCCAAGCTACCGGTGGTTAGGGCCGCAGAGAAAGAAACCGCCTGACGACGCGCGCCGTGTCCAGGAGTACTGCCTTTTGCATCTGCCCCTTGACTCAACCATCTAGCGAGAGGCTCTTTAGATGTTGGTCGAGACTCTTCGCTATGAGACCGTTTACGCTAACGACTATAGGGACAATGATCGTCGAATCCATAGCCCACAAAGCGGTTACCTCGTGGGCCAAGTCCAGCTACTTGCTGAGCTTGTCCTTCTCGGCCACCACGAGGTTCTCGTCATGCGGGATGGTGATATCGATGAGCACTGCCTGGCTATTATTAAAATTATTATTATTATTATTATCATCTACATAGTTAGACAGTGCAAATGTGCCAACAGAATGCATTTAAAAATGGAAATTTCGAAACACCCGTTTCATATATTGACGTCGGTTACTGATAACGCACAGACACCATGATTTATGCCGACTATTTGTGTGACATTTACAACGACATGAACTGGAAACGCACCGCGCCGCAGTCGCATTGTTGAACGCTCGAACAATAATCGTTTGCAACGAAGCCTTACCACTGATTACTCATTGATATTCAAAGTTTCGCTCGAATATTGTTCGCCGATTTGTGAGTAAACCGTATTGATATTTATTACTAGTACACGAGCTTTGTTTTCTATCGAATGCAACGATTTTCGTATACAGGATGTCGTTGTTTAGTGTTGTTATCCCGACTATGTGTATTATAATGAAATTCTAGAAAAAAAAAGTCTAAATAAATGACTCCACCCCACCTCATGTCAAGAGGCGGTGAAGTACAGATGCGAAGATAGCTGGCATAGCAATTATACCTTTTTTTTTAAATATGGCCTTTACATCGTCACCGGGTTTGGAGACGGCGAGATCCTCTGGAGACCTCAAGCCAAGAATTGGCGAGGGTCTCCAGAGATATTCCAGGCGGATGGTATCTCCCCACGGGGGGAGTCTCCTCTCCGTCTGGAGCCTCTAGACCACTTACTTGAACTTGAGGGCTAGGTCGTCGGCTCGTCGGCTCTAATTAGCCGTTGTCGTAGTTGGCGGAGACAAATGCTCAGGTTCGTACCTGTACCTGGTATAGCGTGTCGTGTGTAGATCGGATCTTCGCACTCTTATCCTACGGGTGCGGTTTCTGCCTAATGCTAAGCTAATTGCAGCCTGTTTAGTGTTGGTGTTTGTGGCCTGTGTGGAAGGAGTCGGAGGCACGTTGGCGCGGGTGGTTTCGTCGCCGGGGTATTCTCAGTCGTGCCTAGGTCGACGGAATCGGAGGGAATTACCAGCCTGCACTTTGATTCTTCACGCCTCTTTTAAAGGATCCCGGGTTGTAGGTCCTTTAGGTACCGGATCAGATGGTTCATGATTTTGCTGATTTAAAGCCCAATTTAACAATGATAGCAATAAATTTAAGGCCAAAGTCGTTTTTTGAAGTAAAACTTCTTTTTGGAGGGGTGTAAATGGAGAAATCCTATGGAAAAGATGAAACGGAAATGCGTACGCGATGATATATATACTCCATATAGAGGATACGGCATAGGGGATTGGAGCTATATATATACATATATTTATATATATAGCTCCATTCCCCTATGCCTTATGCACCATCTAATTTTAGGTTATTTAAGAAAAGAAGTTTCACTTCACACTAAATGTATCAAAAAAAATTTTAAATTCGTGCGGGTTCGAGTCCCGTCTGCTGCCTGGTCCGCGTGGAATTTTTTCTAGTTATATTTTCTTTAGATGTAAACATCAAGCAGTTACATGCTAATTTTTTTTTTTTTTTTTTATATTATCCTGGTTTATGATTAGCATTAGTCTTGCTATCAAAGTTTGATGAAAACACTGAATTTCTTTTGATGGCCATAGTTCAACGTACGAGGAATGTAAGATAGCAAGATTAGGAGCATGAAATAGTATGATATTATGCATTTCGTAACAGCAACAGTCTGGACTATTGAATCTTATAATGATCAGTATGTCTCGATTGCCTTGCAAATTATTATATTTAATCTTGAAAAATATATACATAAAAATGTAAAAACAAGTTGTGGGTATTCTTTTTGTTTTTTCACGATTCAGTGAAAAAATCTGCAACAATCCCAAAAGTTAGTACAGATCATTTTTTTTTCAGTGTGTTTAAAACTTTATTTAGCCATAATTAATTATGTAAAGTTGTTCCTGGGAAAGGGGTAAATGAGAAGGTTTCATTAAAACCGCTCCATGCCGTCGGGATAATTTTATGTGGGTCTCTCTACTTCAGTTGCTAATTTATTTGGCAGAGTTTTATTTATTTAACTCGTCGGTGTTTCTCCGTGTGAATCCTCCATACAGTAATCAGTATAACCTGATTCGGGGAAATGTGACAATATTTGCTGGACTTTGCGAGAAGTTTATTCAATCTGGTTGATTTTCGAGTTTGTTTTACCGCCTCTTCTCTTTGGTCAGCTGTCTTCCTTTTATTTATAACTAGCGGCCCGCCCTCCCTTCGCTTCGGTGTAGAGCTGAAGTGTAGAATACTGTTTTTGTTCTCATGCTTGTATTATACACAATGACATTAATCTATGATTCTTCATATACTTGCATGCAAAGTCTCAACCCGGTCGGTTTAAAATTAACAAAGTTTCATACAAAGTTTCATTCCCTATTTCATCCCCTTGGGGGTAGATTTGTTAAAAATCCTTTCTTAGTGGATGCCTACGTCATAACATCTACCTGCATGCCAAATTTCAGCCCGATCCGTCCAGTGGTTTGGGCTGTGCGTTGATAGATCACTATGTCAGTCAGTCACCTTTGAGTTTTATATATATAGACAATCGCATCTTCGCTGTGATACAATGATAATACACATCTTTCTGAAATCATATCCGTACTTTTATTAAATTACTTTAATTTAATCGTTGGTCTTCTTTCTGGTCTGTACACACTTGCTTTATAATATTTTCCATTATTATTATTCATACTTAAGCTGTCATTCGTCTTTCTACTACTTCAGTTATTGAGGCTAGATTTAGATCTCGTTTATCGTCAATCCAGTTTTTAATATCTACATAAACGACTTTTATACGTTTAAATTTATACTTTTAAGCATTTAAGTTCTAGCTGTTAAAATCTAAAGAAAATTTTACTGGAAAAAAATTCACTCGTTTTATATGCTTGACTTTCTCTATCCTGTTTATCGGGACTTGGTGACCTGGACAACTGTCCACCTAAGGTACAGGTCTCTCACAACGTTAGTTTACTACAATATGAGTATATAAATGATTATTAAGATGCTTATTAATACGAAAGAGAGATCATTAATGGTTAACCTCACTGCACTAACCATATTAATGGTGGTCATTACTTTCAGTTTAATAAAGAGGAAATGGAGAAAATCTAACTGTGTTAGTCTGTAGTTAAGAAGTTAGTTTTTACGTACTGTAAAATCTTATACTTTGGAATGATATCGTAAATTGTCACTAGTTTGATTACGGAAATTCCTATAGGATTTTTTGTTTGATTTCCAACACCCACTAATTAGCCTAGCCATAAAGTATATAGTGCTTATTTGTGGCATGTGTTATGGGATACTAGGGTAACGGATAGAATGTATATACTGTACATTTATTAGTATATTTTTATAGAAATACATATTAAACATCCATGACTGGAGTACAAATGCTCGTATACATCACACAAAAATCTGTCCGCATCGGGATTTGAACCCGGGACCTCTCGAGTCGGTGACACGTAATTTAGGCTACGGCGCGAATGATAGCTTTGGTATCGCAAGCGTATATGGCTATGGTGGCCGCTTACCATCTTCATCAGCCTATTAATGTGCCCACTACTGGGGCACAGGCTTTCCCTATTGATAGAATAGGAAGATTGGGCCGTGTGTGACCCACCACCGGTACGGATTAGTGGGTATTGACGACTGCTAAATCCAGCCGGCACCAACGACTTAACGTGCCTTCCGAAGCATGGAGGAGTTAGAGATTATAAGGTTTTCGTCACAATTACCGGCCATTGCAAAAGTTGCTTAACTTGCACGGTCGTAGGCCGCACGAGCTAGCCACCTCCGCCATCGATCAGCAATATGTCCGCTTTACGACCAGTTGTAGTCGTGGCTGCAAACTTGGTCACAGCCAACCGTAGCTTCTTCGACCAAAGTTACACACCTCAGGTTTACCATCAGGCGGGCCATATGCTTGATTGCCACCATTTTAACATAAAAAAAAAACAAAAAAACGTGTGTGCTTCTGACCATACGACTGTGTGGAGTGAAACTTCTTTAGCTCCATCTGTATGTATATACACACAATATATAGTACATACATGTATATACTGTACCCAGTACAATATGTACATCTATGTAAATGTATGTATGTGAAATGTATATGTACATACATGTGTACTGCGTATAATATATACATGTATGTACATATACATTTCATTTACTACCTATAAGAGAAAGAAAGAAAGAAAATGTGCGCACGCACTGCTGTCTCTTGCTTATATCCCCCACTCAACTCCTGTTCGCCTCGCCGGAACACACTTTTCGTAACGCGTAACGCATTCGCCAGCTTACCCCCCAATCAAGCGTGCGTATAGAAGTTTCACTTGAAAAACTCCTTTTAACGTTTTCATTTGTTTGTTTCAGGTGTGGTTGTGATGATATGGTGGTGGGCGTTGGCGCTGCTCGCGCTCGCGACGCCCGCCCGCCCCGCGCCCCGGGCGGGCAACGGTGAGCTCCTTTACAGTAAGCATCACCTTATGCGCACGATCTGTCGCCCGATTCTGCAAATATAGTAAGGTTTTAGTTCTTTGAAAACGATCTGATACGAAGCTTAAGGGGTCTGATAAAGAATGGGTCTCGAAAAGAGCTGGAAGTAGATTCTACCGGCCTTATTCATAAATGAAGAATATCCTTGGACTAGGTACTCCTGTTTTGTTTCTGTTCATTGATAATTCAATGACATTTGAGTGATATGAGCAAAAGACTTCGTAAGTAGTCTACTCCCGTTCGCCTCGCCCGAACACACTTTTCGCAACGCTTTCGTAACGCATTCGCCAGCTTACCCCCCCAGTCAAGCGTGCGTAAAAAAGTTTCATTTCAAAAGTAGTCTGTAGTCGTCAGAAACAGTAACATCAGCGTAAAATAACGAAGGTTCGAAAAAAATATTTTCCTCCACCAAACGAATTTCCATGGGAGATTTATTAATAAACGTCTTTCCTTTTAAAGTTCACTTTCGATATACCATGTACAGCAGCCGCGTGTTTATGGTTAGAATCTAAAAAGGATCGTGATCAAAGAAGTAGAATTTTATTATAACAATTCATCGGCTGATTGTTTATCAGCTGATGGTGATACTACAGAAACGCTGTGTGAATGCTTACCAATTACAACCGTATTATTTAAAATATTCTTCATACAAATAAAACATTGATTGTGATAGGATTCGCTCAATATTATTAGTCATCTATATTTTACTTTATGTAAGTAACATAGTAAAAGCAATTTGATAAATGCTTCCATTATCAGTATAAAAGATCTCGACAAAATTGCGTTACGTCACAGTTATGAGGCGTAACCGTGGCTCGTATATACGCGCTATATACGCTACTCCGATAGCACATTTCCACGAAGCGTCGCCGTCGCGGCTGTCATAATGCTGCGGTAAGGTTGCGGTATGTGTGACAGCGGGTGAACATGGGTGACGGGTGAGTCAGAGCGTGACGGGGCGCGACGCGTGATAATGCTGCGTTTTCATTTGAGAAATGGGCTGTAACTGTTATGTGCGAGGAAACATTTGGCTAATAACATAGCAGGCCTGAAACTCGTTAATGTCCAAAAATTGGGTGTAACTTCAATTCTTGCTCATTTTCAACTTACATCCAATTTCTCTTGAAAAGTGAGAGACTCCTCTTGAAATGTCAAATCCCAAGAACCGATCTGTATATAATTAAAATTGCATAGCAGGAAGAATGGTTGATTGTAGGGGTGTGCAATTTTCTAATAAAGAATGACACAATTTAAATGTTATTTTGATATAATGGTCATTTGAATAAAATGAAAGTTTGAACAAATAGGGTAGGGCAGACTCTGTAATGCAAAAAAACATTCCTCACTGTTAAAAATGAATATTTTCTAAAACTTCTATTTAAATGGACATCTATTTGGTTGCGTTCCGCTACCCGCTGTCATCGAGTACACCGACTAGCTAACATGACGTAGAGTCTCTCATCTCTCTCGATAAATCAGTCATTTCATTGCGGCGTTTTCGCCGTAATGGCAATCACACAGCGTTTCTTCACGGTATTATGCATCCACGGTACTTTCTTAAAGAATCGGGCATCTTTTCACGGGCACTATTGAAGATGTAAGTAACTGATAATTAAAATTTTCATTTTAAATCCTTCTTAAGCACATAGCACATATTTCGATAAATGATCTTATATGATACATATAAAATTTATAAAATGTATTATTTATAATGCAAATTCTAATTTAACAAATAATTCTAGAAATCTTTTTTACATTATAAAGAAATAAAATATGCCGTTTAACTTTTTATAATTATGTTGTATTAACTAATATTTTGACACAATCATCATTAATTTGCCCCTTAGGCGCCGCGCGCTCTAGACCGTCTCAGCTACGGCCATTCGTGGCCGTGGACGCAACCTTGGTTGCAAAAGCTACGGTTGGGCTGTGGCCAAGTTTGCGGCCACGACTACGACTGGTCGTAAATTGGAGATAATGCTGATCGTTTCTTTGGCTCAATCTCCCTATTCCATAAAAACACGTATTCTTCCCACCAATCCGAACTGCGCCCGCGTAGTGTCAAAACATTCCACACAGGCCTCGCGTGGCGAGTCATGGCCCAATATACCTTTTTTTATTGTTAGGAAAATGCGTGACGCATATCCCGCCTCTGGGTGAGAGACGGGGATGGCTCAATATACCTATCCCATCAGAAAAAAAGTTTCCTACCCACCAATCCACACAGATGCCACATGTTGGTTCATGGTCTAATCTCTCTATTTCATAAAAAAGTATATTACTGACCAATGCGCACTGTGCCTGCGTGGTGGGACATAGCCCAATCCCCCTTTACCGTCAAACTTCCTCTTTCTCCTCCGAAAATAGGTACTATAATGTTTTACAAAGTCGCGAGTAAAGTACTTTCCGATGGTGACAGAGTTTGTTTAAGTGCGCTCGTTCGCTACTCCTAACCGACGTACGCTTTTTATAGGAAATAAAATAGTATTTCGGCTAGTATGACAGCTGGGATGGAAACTTTGATAGCAGATTTGATTATGAACTGCTAAGTCATTCATCATCATCAGCCTATTAATGTCCCCACTGCTGGGGCACAGGCCTTTGCTATGGGTGGAATAGGGAGATTGGGCCATGATCCACCACGTGGGACCAGTGTGGATTGGTGGGTGCTAACGACTGCAGATGCAGCCGGGACCAACGGCTTAACGTGCCTTCCGAAGCACTGAGGAGCTCGAGATAGTAAATATTTGGTCACCCATCCAATGACCGACCACTGCGAAAGTTGCTTAACTTCAACGATCGCAGCAGAACGCGCTAACCACTAACTAAGCTTTAAAATTTACTGTAATCAGTAAATTTTTCCAAATCAAAAAAAAATCTTTTTCTGTTTCCGTAGTCTCAGTATGCTACCCGTTTTTTTTTTATTTCTCTCTACAGACCGTTTTGACCGTAACTCATTTGGCATGTAGTTCCAAAAATACTGAAAGTTTGCTATCTCATAATAGCTCAATGTGAGCCTGGTGCCTCATTAATTTCACAAATTATATTGTAATTATGAAAACATATACGTACTGACTAAGTATTTTCACGTATAAGTGCAAATGGTTCCCAATAAGCGTAGAGATTCTTAGACACAGAAACACACACATTCATAATGTTTCATGAATATGCAAAAACTAACTCTCACTCTATGCCGGCTGTATATTAAAATGCAAGAAAAATATAATTTTAGGGAGTTATTAAATATTAATGAAGGGAAAACTGAACGAAGCTGTAGTACCCATGTGAATAACTTGAAAAACAAAGAATATTATTTGAAACACATTCCTAAAGGTAACTTATTATGTATATGCGATGTTTAAAATGTTACCAGAAATATCAGAATCAGAAAATTTTCACGATATTAATTCGCGCGGATCCCCATCGGAACCGCACGGGAAAATTTTACAGAATAGCACTGCAGATGAAAGATCATACTATTTTCGTTAATCGATTCCGTTTTCAATAAAAATCAAATTTCTCTATTTCTTTTCAATTATTCAATTAGTCACGTCCTGTCTCATTCCTTTGGTATCACAAAGGAAGGGACCGCATGAACTTTAGTTAAACTTAAAAAATAATTGACTTCTCTTATATGAGTACATCTGTTAATGAATTATATCTTACCAATCCCACCATACAGCATCAAGAAAAGTGTCTTCAGCTTCTAAATTTCTTTAATATAATACCAACATTGGGTGACGCCATCTACGCACAATATCTAATATATAAAATTCTCGTGTCATGGTGTGCGTAATTGAACTACTCCGAAACGGCTCGACCGATTTTCGTGAAATTTTATATGCATATTCAGTAGGTCTGAGAATCGGACTACATCTATTTTTCATCCCCCTAAATGTTAAGGGTATTTTTTTGGACAAAATTCTGCTTTTATTTTTTCATGAAACATCATACAAAAATACGTACAATCCTAAATTTTCACTCTTCTTCCACCAACCTCAATTTTTTAGGACGGTACGAAGTTTGCTGGGACAGCTATACTCGTATATAAACCTTTAACATACAACTAAAGAGATTTTATTACATACTAGGGGCCCGCCCTCGCTTCGCTTCGGTGTAGAGCTGTAGTGTAAACTATAGTTTTTGTTCTCGGGCTTGTGTTATAAACAATGACTTTATTTATATAATTACACGTGTTATTGTAAGTCAACCATAAAAGATAGACATATGCTGTTGCGGGATATTTTTTTGACAATTTTATGTAGAATATTTCCGTCATACATGATTTCTATGTAACTTTAACCATTAAGGCTGCACACGCGACGGAAGCTTAAAAAATGGAGTAACTTCTCCCGTTTTCCCAACATTTCCCTTCACTACTCTGCTCCTATTGATTGTAGCGTGATGAAAAGTATACTATAACCTGCCCAGGAGTATGAAGAATAATTGTACCAAGTTTCGTTAAAATCCGTCGAGTAGTTTTTGTTTTTATAAGGAACATACACACAGACAGACAGATAGACAGACAAAAATTTTACTGATTGCATTTTTGGCATCAGGTTCGATCACTTATCACCCCCTGATAGTTATTTTGAAAATATATTTCATGTACAGAATTGACCTCTCTACAGATTTATTATAAGTATAGATTACACGTGTTATTGTAAGTCAACCATAAAAGATAGACATATGCTGTTGCGGGATATTTTTTTGACAATTTTATGTAGAATATTCCCGTCATACATGATTTCTATGTAACTTTAACCATTAAGGCGGCACACGCGACGGAAGCTTAAAAAATGGAGTAACTTCTCCCGTTTTCCCAACATTTCCCTTCACTACTCTGCTCCTATTGATTGTAGCGTGATGAAAAGTATACTATAACCTGCCCAGGAGTATGAAGAATAATTGTACCAAGTTTCGTTAAAATCCGTCGAGTAGTTTTTGTTTCTATAAGGAACATACACACAGACAGA